CCCGGGGGCCTGCCGGTCTCGGCAGGGCCACGGCGTCACCCGGGCCAGACCCCGGCTCGGGGAGGAGGCTGCTCCCCTGCGTGCTCAGGCCCTGGCCGCCGGTTTTGAGGGAGTCTGGAGACCCGCGCTGGGCTGCCCCTGCCACGTGGGCAAGGATAGCTGCCCTGCCCTGCCCTGCCCTGCCCGTACCCAGTGGGCAGGGACATGTTTTGTTAAACTTCCAGCTACAGCTGCGGCCGCTGCCGGGTCGTGCACCTCTTGATAAGCCCTATCTGGGGGGCGAGGCCAGGGCAGGGGCTGGGCGGGCACGCGGGCAGGCCCCGTTGTGTAACGTGTTTGCTCTGGCAGGAGGGTGTAGCCCACGCCCAAGCACAGGCAGTTCTGCACTGAGCTGTTACTGGCTCTGCTGCCCTGGGGCTGGCACCTCTGGCTGCAGCCTCCCCGCAGGCATGAAAGCAAACACTCCTGCCCGTTTGCCCCCGAAGCAGCCTGGCTCCCTCCCTCCCTCCCTAGCTAGCTCAGCCCTGGCTGCTAGGGGGGTCTGGGTTACACAGCACTGAGCAGAGTGCCCACTGTTTGGGAGGGAGGGAAGGAAGCTGGATGCTGGCATCTTGTGCTCAGTAGGTAAAGTGTGGCATGTTTGCAGGAGGATTTACCAGCTGGGAGGAGAAACTCCTTGGGGACTCCCTGACACTCCTACCCCAGCCCCTTCCCAGGGTGGCAGACACACAAGGCCTCTGCAGCCTGATTGGAAATAGTTTTGCAGAGGCAGCCTGGGAAGACACTGGCAGATCCCTGAACAAAGTTACTGCCTGCAGCTGGTCTGCTAAAGGGCCATGCTTTCTGCAGCCCCCAGCTGGGCAGGATGCCTTGCTGGGAAAGAGGTGGTGTTGGCAGCGGGTGGTGCCAGACAGTGCATATGGTCCCGGATTGGTGCTGCTCCAAGGTGCTAGGGAGCATGGTGCTATGGGAGGAGAGGTAGGACCCAGGTTCTTGTGCCTCACAGTAGACTCAGATCCCAGGGTGCTTGATACATGCATGTAGTCCAGCCAGTTGCTCCTAGTGCCACTCCTTTGGGGCACCCCTGGCACTTCAACCGCTGTGTCCTCAGTCTCCAATTGGGAGGACTCAGTGACAGCATGAGCACACTGCTACCTGGTAGCCTCTTCCTGTGCCCACGCCCCTACCAGGGGAGCTGAAACAGAAATATGAGGGAGCAAGCTGGGACAGAGAAGGCCTTAATGAGAAAGGCAGCCTGGCCATGCCCCTTCTGCCTCCCAGTTCCCAGAGCATTATGAGCTGTTATGCATCTGCTGAGAGCTGCCCCAGCAACAGTTGTATTTCAGATATGGGTGCAGCAATTCCTGTGTTTGCACTGAAAGGTATATTTAAATGCTGAATTAATGCTCCTAGCAGCTAAACCTAAGTTTAACATACACTGCACAACTGTACTGATCTGGGCAGCATTGAAGGGGCCAACCCAGACCCCCCTTTATAAACTGCAGTAACTGGTGCCTGCCTGGGAGCTCAGTCTCACTAGCCAGGACAGGCCCAGGGTGGGACACATCAGAGGATGACGAATGTAATGGCATCAAAGGGCAGATTTGTGCTGAGAGGATTAGCAAGGTGGAAAGAAGGAAAGGGATGAGCAGGTCAGAGGGGCATGTTTGCAGGAAGCAGAGGTGGAGCAACTGTGGGAGCAAACAAACATGAGTTAGTAAGAGGCCCTGAGTGCCCAGGGGTCCCTGCTGTGGCACCCCAGAGGGAGGGGAAGGGTTGGTGAACAGGAAGCCCAGGAGAAGTTGGCACGAGGCTGAGCTTTCATCTCTGCTCCAGACAGGAAAAGGACTTTAGCAGCAACACCAGGTCTCCACCCTTCTCCCAGAGCTCCCTGCCAGGTACCGGCACTGCAGTGTAGCAGAGGTTCCCCCTAGCTGCAAGGGGCAGGTCAGCCTTGGGCAGGTGGAAAGCATTGCTAGAAGGTGAGTGATGAACTCATGCTGGGCTGCAGGTCAGGGTCATTTCCAGGAGCAGGGGCTGCTCCCCACAGCTTGCCAAAGGCATGGAGCTTCCCACTAATGCAACAGCTGATGGTGCCAATACGTCTCTGTGGTGTGTGCCACAAAGCATGTGAGTGTAGCACCCTCATGCTAGAGAATGGGCACCTCTGCTGTAGCCCAGGCTTCAGCATCTCTCTTGGGATCCAGGTGGGCAGGTCAGAATGACCAGGGTACTTCCCCAGCCCATGCCCTGCTCAGCTGCTGCTTTTGCGCCAGACTAGGAAGGCAATAGGCCCTTGCCTGCTATTGTGCATCTTCAGTATTTGAGAAAGCCTTTCAGGCTACCCCCACCCTTCCTGGCAGCAGGTTTGTGGAACTGCCCAGGCCCCTGTGCTGTGGGCAGGGGCTGCGATTCCCCCAAGCTGTGGGCTGTTTTGAAGAGGGTGAGTACCTTGGGCCCTTGGGGTGATGCTTTGCTTGGCTTTGGCAGGTACCAGGATCATCTATGACCGCAAGTTCCTGCTGGAGTGTAAAAACTCCCCCATCGCTAAGACTCCGCCCTGCTGCCTCCCACAGATCCCTGGTGTCACCACTCCTACCCATACAGCACTCTCCAAGCTCGAGGACCTGAAAGAACAAAATGAGCTGGAGGAAGAGAGTCCAGGTAGGAGCTGCATACACAGCACCCTGCCCTGGCCCTTCCTTTCCTGAGGGGCCTGGCTGTAAGGTAACATCTTTGGGTGGTCTAGCCTGAGCAGAGGTTTGAGTCTATGGGGCAAATCCCACTGAGCTGCAGGGACCAACAACTTCTCTGCAGGAATCAGTGCACCAGGCTGCAGCTCCCCCACCACCATTGGGACCAGTCTGCATAGGGTGGTTGTGCCTGGAGGATCATAGAAAATTGCATTAACTCCTGCCCTGGGTTGGCCTGAGCCAGAGCCTGACACCCCCACCCCCCACCCCCTTCTGCTCATTGCTTCCTGTCAAAATGACCCTTCTGTTCTGTTGTGACTGCAGCAAGTGTGGTCTGGACTAAAGGAGACTTTCTGTGCCACTGGACACAAGCTGAGACTCCCTCCACGTGCCTTCTGTAGGGGCTGCTCTGGAGTGAGCACCGTGCTGGAAGCCACATCAGCACAGAGCCTGGGCTAGCAGTCAGCCCAATACCAGCACCTCAGCCATTGCTGAGAGGCAGGGGGAGGGGTTAGGGACCAGCATGGGGCTCCTTCCACAGGCACCCCAGCATTCACCACAGGGAGCCCAACCCTTCCATCTGCCTCCTTGGCTGATTTCATCCCCTTCAAGGTGGGAGTACTGAGTATGCAGGCCCAGCCTTATGCTAACCAGCCCTTGTCTCCCCTCCCACAGAGGAAGAGCAGTTTAAGATGGACATCTGAGCTCCCTGCCAGCATGCTCTACTGGCCGATGTGAGGGAACTCTCAGCGCCTTGCCCTCTCTCTCAGCCCTGGGGCAGCAGAAGAGAGTGAGGCTTTGGTGGTGGTGCCAGCTGCATGCCTGGCTTGAGTTTTTAATACTACCTTTCTGCAATTGATTTTTGTCCTGGATCTCTTTATGGAACTGGAGGCCTGGGCTCTGCTGCCCAGGGGGGCTGGTTTTGGCTCCTGCCCTGCTGACTGTTAAGCATGAGTTCTCCCGGACTCACTGTGGGGCTCTTCAATAAAGAACCTGAAAAGCCTCCTGCTCAGAGTATCTTCTGTGCCTCGTGTCCAGCTCTGTTGCCCATGTCTGCCTTTGCTCAGGGCACAGGAAGTGCTCGCTGCTCCCCTGGACTCCTTTTGTCCTGGAACTGCTGCCTTATGGAATCAGATCAAAAATGGGTGAACGTCCGGGTACTGCTGGGCCCTGTGGCACCTCTAGGGCAGGGTGGGATATTGTAGATCTTCGCATTCAATGACCCACAGCAGGAAGACCTCCCCCCACCCCCATCACTGCAACAAGGAGCACCCTGTTGGGTTGGTGTAGTCCAAGCAGCTCTGAGGCCTGGGAAGTCCTTTTTGTGACTTAAGGCCGTTTGGAATGTGGAGGACTTCAGGACTCAGCTTATTTTTAGCTTTGCCCAGACGTGAGCTATCAGGAAACCACAGACAGGCTCCACACACTGCTTCCCAAGGATCTCTTTGGGGCTGACAGAACTTTCTCCGAGTGGAGATGGGCAGGTGAAGCTCCTATCCTTTCCAGGGCCAAAATATGAGGGCAGCAGAGTGGCTTCTTAAAGAGCTACAGCAAAATGATTGGTCCACAAGCTGGGAGCAGCATTTCAGCCTGTGGGGGCCTTGGGGACTGCTGAAAGGTCTGATATGTTGCAAACCCCAGGAACCACCCATGAGCCCTGCAATCCCAGGGCTTGGCCTTGCCTGTGCCCAGTGGTGCTTGATTTTGCAAGGAAGAGGTCAGCTTTGTCTCAGCCCTGCTCTCCTAGGAAGATCAGGGCCAGACTTTCACCCCCACTTGCTGCTTGTGTCCGATTGCTCCATTGAACTGCAGCAGGCATCAGGAGTGGCCAGCACATTCCTCCTTTTCTAGCCACACCTACTGTCAGGTCCTGGGGCACATTAGACTCAGCCAACATCTGTGCCTTGGTCAGGTGTCCCATGCAGGGCTATAGTGCTTCTGCTATTTGTGAAGCTTCTGTAATGCCAGTTACCCTCAGGGCCCTGCAGTGCTCCCTCATCTTGTACCATAGAACCTACTGACTGCAGGGGCTCCCTCAGCACTGGGCTCTGAGTTAGCTCAGAGGCTTAGACATAGAGGAATTATATTGTTTATTACTATTATTAAATAGTGTGCAGCACATTGTCACAAGATGAACTGGTAATTAAAAAGCTCCCCTTGGAGAATATGTCTTGGATCAGGTCCTTGGAGCAGCAGAGGGAGATGGAGGAGTCCCATCCTTCTTCCACTAGTGCTGTATAATGTTCCCAATACCTCAGAGTGTAGTTTTCCCAGGTGCAGCTCAAGTCCCCATGGCTTTGCCCATCTCACTAAGCTTCTCCACTTGGCTGAGCTCCAGCAATTTCTTCAGTATCTGCAGCCACAACTCCAGGGGGCAAGTCCCTTGTCTCAGCAATTAAGCGTTTAACTCCCACCATCCACTGACTGACTTCATTGACATGGTCCACCATAAGCGAGCGATGGATTTCATCTGCGGAGTCCCAGTTCTTCTTCTGTAGCTCTAAAATAAAAGGAGAGTGCCAGTGAGCACCCCAAGCCTCCTGGCTGCAAGAAAGGATCCATCCCCCAGCAGGGAACAATGCTTTCCCCACAACATGGCTGGGCCTAGTGGAAGTCACATGCCCAGAACTACAGGGGTGCAAATCAGGTGAGGGACATAGCTGCCTGCCACCTCTGAATGGACAGGGGTGGGGATGGGAATAACAGCAACTGACTGAGATGCAAGATGAGGGGCAGCAGGACAGCACCTCAGCCATGGGCGACTGGTGCCTCTAGAGCTGGGGGGGAGGGGTCTTCCGGTGTCACTTCCAGTTTCGTGGCTGGTGCTTCCAGGGAGTGCACAGCTGATCTTGGGGTGCACATGCACCCCCTACGTGTCACCAATGACTTAAGCAATGAGGGAGCATGTGCAAAGGTGGGGAGCCTGGGAAGCAGTATGCAAAAGGCAGCAGTGGCTACAGCACATCCCTCCTTAGATTCAAGCTGTGGCCCCATCACTAAAGGTCATGGTCCCCAGGCTCACCTTGCACCAGGATGGCCATTCTCTTCTTCACAGGGGCAGACAGCTTCCCCTGGGCCCACATGTCCTGAAGCACAGCAAGGCGTCTGCTGATGTCATCACAAACCTGTTTCTGTGAGAGCACAGATAGGATCTCTACTAAAAAGCTCCATGCACCGTCCCCCTCACTGCCAGCCCGTGCCCCTTGCACAGGCTAAGGTATCCCCATGCAAAAAGCAAGCAGGAGCCTCTTGGAGTCTGCACCCCCTGCTCCACCGCAGGATGGGGGGAACTTGGGGAGCACCCACGGGGACTGGGGCTCAGAGCCATGGACAGGCACTAACCGCACCCTCACGCCCAGCATCTGAGGGAGGCCCTGGCACTCCCTTCACACTGGGGCTCGTGCTCGGGGGCCCGCCATGCAACACAAAGGCCCCCTCCAGCAAAACCCTGGCATGAGCGGCAGGCACAGCGGGCAGCTGCTATGATAACATCCCCACGTGTGGAAGGCGGCCCCGGCCAGCAGCCCTCACCCGCACACAGGCCCGGCAGGTGCCCAGAGCCTCGGTTAGAGGGGCCATCACGTCCTCCGCGCTCGGGCTGCCACCGTCGTGCTCCTCCGCAGCTCCGCTTGTGACTCGGCTCACGGCACCCTCCCGCAGCGCCGGGCTCGCCGGCCCCAGCGGCGGGGGCCCCACGGGCTTTGGACTCGAGGCCGCGGGAGCGGCGTCCTCCGGAGCTGGAGCAAGAACAGAGCAGCAGACATCAGAGCCCCCCGGGGGG